ATAAATATTATCATATTCTTTATCACTTATATATTATCAACAACAACAACAATAATAATAAATAATAATAATAATTTTAAAAATCCATCAAAATCTCTTCTTATCATGAGAGATTTTCTCATATACAAATTTTTTATAATTGTCCATTAAAATCCAATGAAATCCATAGACTTTAAAAGTCTGTGGATTATTGAATACCTCAAAATTTTAAAATACTTTTAAAAATCTTGATTGAATACCTCAAGATTTTAAAAGATTTTTAAAAGTCTTGATTAAATATACCCATATTTTAAAAGTCCAACAAAATCCTATAGAGTTGTGATTGAATACACCCCCTTAAGTCGTGGAAGGTAACCAAGGAATCCATTGTGGTGGCTCGAGGGAGAAGAGATGGAACCATCTATATAATGAAAAGCATGCGAGATGAAATCGGTTCCGTAGCCATAAATAATGATTCAAATTTATGGCATTCTCGTCTCAGACACATGAGCGAGAAAGGGATAAGGGAACTTGTTTCAAAGGAAAAATTGTTAGGTTTCAAGTCCATCGATATTGGAGTATGTGAATATTGTATCTTTGGGAAGTAGAGAAATGTGTCGATCTCAAAGGGTGGGATAGACCTAAAAAATGAAAAATTGGAGTTGGTCCATACGGACTTATGGGGACCAGCTTCTGTATCGTCCCTTGGAGGCTCACATTACTACATCACGTTCATTCACGATGCTACAAGGAAGGTATGGGTATATTTCCTTAAGCGTAAATCTGATGCTTTTGAAACTTTTAGAAAGTGGAAAATACTTGTGGAGAATGAAATGGGGCTACGAGTCAAGTGTCTGAGGTCAGATATTGGTGGCGAGTACGAGTTGAACGAGTTTAAGGAGTACTGTGTTGAGAATGACATCATAATGGAAAAGACAATACCTGGAACACCGCAGCAGAATGGTATAGCTGAAAGGATAAATCGGATGTTGAATAAGAGGGCTAGATGCATATATCTAAAGTGTGGTTGTCAAAGACGTTTTGGACTGATGCAATCAACACGACGGAATTCCTGATCATCCATCAAAGCTGTTGAATAATGAGATTCCAGAGGCATGGACAGGAAAATAGTAAACCTCTCTTTCTTGCATATTTTTGGTTGCACTGCATATGTCAAGGTTGATACTGAGACTAAACTATATGTAAAATTGGTAAAGTGCACGTTTGTCGGTTATGGTGGTGATGAGTTCGGATATCGACTTTGGGATGAAGCTAATCGCAAAATCATTCGTGCTCGAGATGTTATCTTTGATGAGCAGATCTTGTATAAGAACAAGTCGAGTGACGAGGGTAAAAAAAATCCGGAGATGATTGAGTTAGATACTTCCAATACGAGTCCAAGTAGCCAAACTCAAGATGATTGGAGTGCGGCTGATGTAAAGGTCGAGCCGCCAACCCCCGTTATCGAGAATGTTGAAATCCCGAGAGAAGTTGACCTGAACACACCGATAGCACTGAGGAGATCCTTGAGGCAACATCGTCCTTCTGATAGATACTCACCTTCTTTACATTATCTACTTTCAGCTTATTGTGGTGAACCCGGGTGCTACGCAGTTGGATTTACAGAATCAAGGATTAGGATGATGTGAGTAAGTGTTATACAATGGTGTGCACAAAGCCGGATATAGCACATGCAGTGGGAGTAGTGAGCCGATTTATGAACAATCCTGAAAGAAAACCTAAGGTTGTGACCTTAGATGAATTGAGGTTGTGTTCAACCTCAATGGGCCTCGATGAGTGAAAAATGAGGCTTGACGCTGTCATTGCAAATAAAGTAAAATGTTGTAGTGAAAGATACAATCAGTCTTCAAGTGGGAGATTGTTGGGATATGAAGTCTGATTATATCCTAAAATCTAGAGATGTGATTTATATATGATTTGGATATTACATCCTAGATTTAGAGATATGATTTGGATATTATTGGAATAGGCTTAGACTATAAATATTCAGGTATTCTCATTTTAACATGCGGTATGTGTATTCTATTTCATAGTAAAATTCCTAGCTTTGCAGCACCTCCAAACGTAGATCATTTTGATCGAACTGAGTTACCAAATTTTTGTGTTCTTGTTGTCTCATCTTGATTTCTTGAAATTTCCATAACAAATCTAATATATACTTTCCACACCAAAATACAAAGCCTGACGCCGACACAATCCTAAATCTAATTTTCAATGACGTCAGCATTCCCTTGAGTCGGACCTTCTGCCCTGATGACGTTAGCAGCTGGTCGCCCTCCCTTACTCGATTTTCCAGATCTAGGTAACTTCCAATCCTCCCCCTGATTGTTTTTTTTTTCTTTGGAACTTCCGGCAACGTCGCCGGTGGTTCCCTGGCCAGCCGCCGCCGGCTGCTATCTGTCGGCCGGGGGAGGGTGGCAACGGGTTGGCCCTCTCCCTTTAAATGTAATAAATTTATTTTGTGAATTAAAATTTTGATTTTTTTTTCATAATATTGTGTGGTGGAGAATGATAATATTTATTTAATTTTTTTTTAATTTGAAATTATATTTTTCGATATAATCGGTATATGCCGATATTGTACCGAAACTGAAATTCTCACTATAAACAATATATACCGGTATCGTACCAAAAGTTTCAATATACCGAATTTCGATATGCCGAAATTTTCGATACGATATCGGTATGTATTTTTGTCATATCAAAAAGTTCAATATGATATCAGTATTAATTGATATTTTCGATACGTTACAATATGTGATCCCGATACTTATAACATTGAAACCGTCCGCTAGAAATAAATATAGAAATGGAGAGTATATTATTCACATATAACATGACTTATATATTTGTGTTAATTAATTGATGAAATTTTAATAGGCAGCGCAGTGCCCCGGAGGTAGTTGAAAGGAGTAGATAATTTCTTAATTATAATTAAATGAAGAAAAACTCGTCCCCAACTGGTGCTTGTAATTTTATGTAAACATTTCTTTCTTATAAATACTTTTCAAAACGTTGAAAACTATCTTGATTTTAACCCTTACTATAATAGAATGCCCTATTCAGTCACGCAGTTGTGCTTTACCCAATGATGCAAGCAAAGGAAAAAATGAAAAAAAGTAAGTTATTTACAAATCAATGTATTCATTTTTTAATTTAGTAAATACTAATACAATCATATCACTCTCTATTAATTATAGTTTTCAAAAATATTTTAGTCAATATATATATATATATATATTACGTGTGCTATCATCAAATAAAATACTTCTTCAATTCCACTTAATTTGTCTCATATTTTTATTTCCGTCAGTCCCACATAATTTTTTTTTTTTTTTTTTTATAAATATAATTATACACTTTAATTACATTTCAAAATTCATAATTTATAAATTTTTTATTTTAATTAAACTATTTAGTCATCTTAATTTTAATTTATAATTATTTTTATTAAATCATAATTATGTTAACTAATATACTTCTTAATTACTTAATAATTACACAATATCTAAAATTTTGTAGTTAAGCTAAAGAGAATAATTTAGCTGGAACTGATGGAGTAATATTCATTGATATATATTTAAAATGTATATATACACATATTTTGGAAGGAAGAAATATAATTCAATATTATTTAGGGTAAATTACATAATATCTCTTTGTGTTTTAGTAAAAATGCACAAAATATCGTATATTTTATTTATTGCGTGAAACCCCTATGTTAATGCAAAGTTTGCATGAAACCACCTCTTTATCCAAAACTGATATTTGATTCTAAATAAAGATCTAAATTACGCAAGTTTTACACAAATAAAAAACATAAAATATTTTAAATAATTTTTTTAATAAAATAAATAAATAAATAATTGATTAATCATTTATTTTTATATTTTAATAAAAATCAGATATCAGTTTGTTTCTAAAAACTATAAAATGAAGGGTTGATCAATTATTTATTTATTTTATTAAAAAAAATTATTTAAGATATTTTACGTTTTTTATTTGTATAAAACTTGCGTAATTTAAGTTTTTATTTATAATCAAACATCAGTTTTGGACAATGAGGGTGTTTCATACAAATTTTACCTTAACTCAATGGGGTTTTACGCAATAAATAAAATACGAAGTATTTTGTGCAATTTTAATAAAACACAAAGAGGTGTTATATAATTGAACTATTATTTATTATTCAAGATATAAACATTTGATATATTTATAACATGGAAAACTGTTTTTTAAACTTTTATTATTATTTTATGACTTTAAGTTAGACTTTCTATGAGAGCTGGTCCGTAATAAGTTTTTTGCGAAAATAATCTTCCGCTCTCGGATTCGACACAGTGACGATAATGTGGTTCGACGATAATGTGGTTCGTCGATACTAACTTGACGCTGATGTATCTAGTCTGTCGGCTACATAGGCAACAAATGAATTTAAAGAAAAAAAAATTACATAAAAATTTAAATCGTTTTTAAAAAAATCCACATGTCGTTCATGTGACGCTGACTATTTAGACAAGTTAACACCAAATTAGTACCGGCGAGCCACAACATTGACGATATGTCAACTGATGGAAGGCCATTTATGAAAAAAAAGATAAAAAAAAAAGTAGTTACAAGACAATTTTCATACATGATCTATTTAGAATACTAAAATGATATCACGGATCACGTTGGAGACTAAAAAAAAAAAAAAAACAAATTACTATTTATAATATAGTTTAAGACATTTAAGCTATGGAATTTGTATAATTTAATAAATCTTTTATTTTATATGTCAAGCACAATTTAATTAAAACAAATTTTAATCTTCCATTCGATTATTTCCCATTTTCTCTTGGTGTTAGTAATTTAATTTTGCAGCTGAATATATTACAACATCGCCTCATCCATCGTTTTCATTGAAAATTCAAAGAAGTTAAAAAATTTAATTTTGACAAGTCCATGGAGCTATTGCTGCCTATAAATATTTCCACTAGCATTCTAATTTTCTTGCACATTGGATACACATTCCACACCTTGTACTCTTACTTTCCAAGTACTAAAAACTAGAAAGATTTAATTAAGCTATGGGTGTCAAGAATTTCGTGAGCGAAGTTAAACTTAAGGTTTCTCCATCTAGGATTTTTAAGGCTATGACAACCGAATCCAACGATGTCCTCCCGAAGGTCGCACCGGGTGTCTTCAAGGATACCAAGGTTGTTGAGGGAAGTTCTTATGGACCTGGTTGCGTCGTTGAGACAACCATCGTTGGTGGTTAGTTTTTTCAAATATCGAAAATTGCAATTTTGCTATTTTAGTGTATATCCTTGTTTATTATTATTATTATTATTATTTTATGTTATTTTTATACTCCCTTCGTCCATTGATAATTTATCTAATTTTTTTTTTGTACGTTTCATAACAAAGTATTTATTTTCTATTTTAGTAATTGTACTATCTAACTAACATTATAAATACTCTTTCAATTTACAATATATTATACAAATAGCATTACATTTATATCATTAAGGTTAATTTAGTTTTTTTATCTTTATTTCTACTACATATCAATAAAATATTAATATTTTTAAAATTCAATGCAAAAGGCAAAGGAATATATAGATATAAGACGAATGAAGAATTATTTATTTATTCACCATGACATTTCATACGGTGTTGATGGGTTTGTTTACTTTGATAAAATAAAATAAAATAAAATAAAAAATCTACTATTTAATTCCTTTACTAAAAAAATATATATACACATTTCTTTACAAAGTATTATCTACGAATAAATTTCTCTGTGATTCATAAGTTTATGTATAGATCTCACAATTTAATATATTGTTCTGTGTTTCTTTTATTTACAACATTTATACCTTGGCTTTTGACATTATTCATCTATAATAATTTTTTAATAAAATAATCTTATAAAGTACGAGTTTTTTATTAACCTATATTTGTTGCCGTTGTGACAATTTTTTGACATCAGGTACTACTAAATAAGTAAAATAAAAAGTTCAATTGTACATATAGGATTGTAAGACATGTATTATTTTAATAAATCATATAATCATTTAATAAATTACATTTACTTTAATTGATTATTGCATTAGATTATTAATTTGCCTAAAATACCCTTAATTATATGATATATCTAATTGTAAGTTATTTATTAATAAAAGATAAAAAAAAAAAATACCACCTATAAGAGAATAACTAGTAATAATTAATTATATATTATTATTGTACTTGACTTTACTTTATCTCAAGTTATAATAATATATAGTAAATACATGATCATATTAAAAAAATATAATATCATTCACTATAATCATTTAGAATAAGTGCACCCATACAATATTATATTGTTGTTTATACATATTTTTGGCTAAAACACATTATACATTCATCGATCGATTAATTAGGCACCAACTTCAAGTACAAGATCGACGACATTGATGTTGACAAGTGCCTCATCAAGTATACAGAGCTCGGAGGAGAGAGAATCGGCAATACATTTGAAAAAGTTTACCATGAGGTCATAAGTGAAGCCTCCGGCGATGGAGGGACCGTGATAAAGTTCAACAGTAAATATTTTGCAAAGGGCGATGCTGAACCAAATGATGATGACATTAAATTGCACGCAGAGAAGTCTTCTGCCATTTACGGGGCTGTTTCCGAGTATCTTATTGCCAATCCTAACATTTGTGCATGATTATTATCACGATATCCTTTCTAGTCCACGCTCAATTGTTGTTGTGTTGTTGTTATTGTTGTCGCCGAAAATTTGAACTTAAAACAAGAAATGAACAAATAAGTGGACTTTCATTTCCTTTGTAATTTGTAATATTTGATAAACTATATTTGGATTGAGTGGTGTGTTTATTTTTGCTTTGGGAAAATTGCAATTTTTGTCTAAGTAAGACAAACAATAATTTTTAATTTTTTTTTTTTTTTTTTTTTTGTAATTTAGGATAATATATGTACAAAAAGTATTATATTTTTTTCCTCCGATGTCGGAAAAATACACTTGAGTCTACATGGTCAGTCCACTGCACATATAGACCTTGCTGGAGCTGTTTTCTCGCACGACGTAGACCATGGGCTGCATGACATGGAAATTCGATTTTATTAAAAAAAAAAAAAAGTAAAATTATATAATAGCTTTTGGGTTTTTAGTAAAAATTGCATAAAATATTTTGTGTTTTATTTAAGTAAAACTTGTTGTGTTAAATTAAATGCACACTTAATTATGCAAATTTTATATAATAATTTGGTAAAATTGCTTATAACTCCCTTGTGGTTTCGAAATTCAGCTTAAAATCTCTCTATACTTTTATATTTTTAAAAATGTTGCATGAAACCCCACCACCATGAAACTTTCCTCGTGTGATAAGAAGATGATTTCCTATCTATATGTTTTGCATGACAGGGGGTTTTATGCAATATTTTTTAAAGTATAAGTGAGCGTTATGCAATTTTTTAAAGTAAAATGAGGATTTATACTGAGTTTCGAAACCACAAAGTGGTTTCATGCAACATTTTTTAAAGTATAAGGAGACGTCATACAATTTTTAAAGTAGAGGGCGAATTTACGCTGAGTTTCGAAACCACAAGAGAGTTATGAGCAATTTTGCCTAATAATTTAATAATTTTTTAGACAAACTGCTATTAATTTTTACAAAAATTACAAACTTTAATTTTTATAAAACTGGCCTATAAGATGTACATTTACAACCAAATACTAATTTCGGACGTAAAATGATGTTTTGTGCATATTTTAATTTAACACAACGATTTCACTCAATAAATAAAATTATTAAAATACAAAGAGATACATTATGCAGTTCATCCCAAAAAAAAAAAAAAAAAGAGATTTTTTTTATTCAAATTCGCCAGATTAAACCAAGTTAAAAACACCTAACACACATTGCTTTAACACCAAGTTATCCTCTTACACAGTGCGCACTTTCGGATAGCGGTTACGTATTTCCGCGTTATAAAAAAAAAAAAAAAAAAAAGGATGAACATTGGTCGGTCTAAATCGAAAATACCAAAAACAAAAATATATCAATTTGGACTATTTGGTTAATTGATTTGGTTTGGTCTAAAAATCATAATTATAAATTTTGCTTTCGGTTCAATTACGGTTTTCAATTTTTATTTTGGTTAACTGAAAAATCAAACTTTACCAAAAAAAAAAAAAAAGAAAAAATATTATATACTCCCTCCATCCCATAAGAAGGATATAATTTTCCATTTTTGTCAATCTCAAAATAAGGATACTATTTTATTATTTAGTACGTATACTACCTACTAACATAATTAATACCTTTACAATTTTTAATATATTACAAAAATATAATTATTTTTCTATCACACAATCTAATATGGGCATTTTTATCTTTTTTTTTCACTATCAACCAATATAATACTAATATTAAAAAATTTACGTGCAAAAAGTAAATGTTACTCTTCTTTCGGGATTGAGGTATTATTAGTAAATAATATAAATAATAGTTTTAAATATTTGTATTTGACTGTATATGTAAGTTATATATTAATAAATAAAAATTTGATTTGTTCAATTTTAAAGAATTTTGGTTCAGTTTCGATTTAAATTTTTACAAATTGAAAATAGATCAAAATTATTGCAAATTTATTTAAGATCAAAATTCTCCAAATTCATATCAAAACTTCAAAAATATTTTTGCATTTTTCATAAAAACAAATAACATATGATCATTTTTAATTCAAAAGTCAAAAGAACATGTCCAAAATACATTATAGCGAACCAAAATTGCTTACACGATGATCAAATCTTTCAATTTTTCACACAAGTCAGCACAAGTTCAAGTGAAGGATCAAATTTTCCTTAGATCTCTAAGATGTCTTTCATATTCTTTGTATTCTTGGAAGTGTGGTTCTAAATTTGTTTAAACTCATAAAAAAAAAAAAAAAAATTAAAAAGTTCATTGCATATAGTGAAAATTAACAACCAGTCCTATTATATTAAAAAATAAAAAAGATATTATACTAAAAATATTATGATGTGTTGTTTAGAAGTTTTTTTCAAATCTACTATTTATTAAAAATAAAAAATAAAAATATCAAACTAAATACTTATTTTTATTTTATATTATATTAAAAATTAATTTTATATTCAAAATATCTAGTTAACATCTAATACCTTGCAAATTATGACCAACAATGGGTAAACTCCCGGATGAACTTAATACTCTGCAAACCAGGCCCGTGCCCGACGGGAAAGTCACACTAGGCGAATCATGTGTGGCAGGTGACCTGAGGCGTCGGGGGTTCAAAGTCACACTAGGCGAATCATGTGTGGCAGGTGACCTGAGGCGTCGGGGGTTTGAACCCATGACCTCATGGTCACAAATCCAACCCTACACCACCAGGCCATCCCTTACGAAACATTACAATCCTACACCACCAGGCCATCATTTACGGGACATTATTTATTTAGTTTTTGATCATTTAAATTGTGGATAAACAATACATATATTTTTTGATTCGGTAAACATCACTATAAGAAAGTTAAAATTTAGTTTAAAAAAAAAAAAAATTTGTAACAAAAAGTAATAATTCATAGCACAAATATTTTTGCAACAAAACGAATTTTGTCGCCTATACCGCGTTAGTAAAGGTCTTTAACAACAAATATAACTTTCGTAACAAAAAATAAGTTTTTTTGTAATGAAAATTAAGAATAGATATATAACTATGAAAATTATATTTTAGCAGCAAAATATGTATGATTTTCGTAGCAAAATAATTTTAGCTATGAAAAATAATTTTGTAACTAAAATTTTTTGCTATGAAGATAAAAAAATTTCTAGCAAAAAATTTTTAGCAACAAAATTAATCTTGTAGTACATAGTTTATTTTTAGTGATGAAAATAATTTATTTTGCTAAATAGTGCGTTTTAATTATAAAAATATTTTGTAATTAAACAATTGTAGCTAATTAAAATTTTTTTTGTAATGCGTATATCTTATTATTTATATTAAAATTACTTTTCAACATATGTATTCCTCAACGTATGAGCCTTACAACCTAATATTATGTATTTGATCTTTTAATGAGTTAGGCCGGTTAGATTGGTTTAGTGTCCATTTGGCAATTAGCTGATTCAATTAGCTATTAGCTGTTAACTGATTTAATTAGCTGGTTTGATTAGCATTCAATTAGCGGTTTGTATTAAAGTATTTGGTAAAACAACTGTTTGACATTAGCTGCTTATATATAAAATGACTATTAAAGACATTGATATGTTATTTTTTGAAATATTTAATTTTGTTTATTTTGGTTTGAAATTTATGAGAATTTTTGTTATTAATTATTGAAAATTATAAAAATATTATAAAACTCATATATCAAGGCTGAGTCTAACTCCTTATGTCTCGGAAAGACAGATGTGCTTTCTGATATTTATTTTTATTTTTATTATTTAGATTTGAGAAAATTATTTTTATTAAAAAATAATAATTTTTTATTGAAATTATATAAAATATAAAATAATAAATTTTTCATATATATATTTTTATTATATTAATTATTGTTTTAATATATATAAATAAATTAATAATTTTTGTTTTTTCTATTTGATTTAGTTTAAAAAATTTATATATTTATTAATAATACTGTAGTAATTATTTTAAATTTACAAAAATAAAAATATAATTTAATAAATTAAATATATTAAAAATAATTAATAAATACTGCCATAAAAATATATTTATATGTATAAAATAGATAATTAAGTTTTAAAGGTAAATGAGGAATAACCAAAATTAAAATGAAAAAGCTTTTTCAAAACGCTGGGTAGATGAGCTTTTCAGAACTTAGTTTTTTGGGTCCAAAAAGCTCTTTCAAAAAGCTAATTTACCAAACACCTAAATTAGATTTTTGACTGGTCAAATAGCTAAAAGTTGTTCAATAAGCTAAAAGCTCTTCAAAAAGCTGTTTCTCAAATACCTTCTTAAAAAATAAGAGGAAGTCAAAAGTAGAAGTAGAAGATGAAGCGGAAATAAAAAATATAAGTAGTTTGATTTTGTGTTTGAATAAATCATTATAAAAAGCAATTTTTTTGTAAAGAACTGTTTGGATATTATAATGTTCAAAGTGTTTTTAAACTGTTAAAATTACTCAAAAAGACATGTTATTAATAGTATTTTTTGTATAAAACTTTTATAATTTATTTTAAAATTTATTAATTATATTAAAAAAAATTAATTAAAGTATAAAAGATATATTTTTAAAATTTAATTATTTGTATTTTAAAGTTTTGATTTAAGGATAACATATCAATTAAAAATAAAACTATAATATAATATTAAATTATTTGTATTTTATAAATTATATTTAATAATTTTAGTATAATTAAAAATTTTATATAGTCTGATTTAGATTTAGTATCTGAATTTTAAATTTCAATCTAAATATAATATATAAAATATAAATAATAATATAATTATATTTTTAAATTTTTATTAAAATATAATATATAAATTAATTATTTTTATATTTTACTCCCTTTCTGTCCTGTGAAATTAGTCCACCTTTACTTTTTTGGACGTCCCGCGAAATTAGTCGCATCTCCTAATATAGCAATAATTAGTAAATATTAATTACAATTACAAATTTAACTATATTTTATTCAATTACTAATACCCTTAACTTTTATTGTTTGTTTTGTTGTAAATTTAAAAGTAGAGCTAGAATTTTGAATAATAAAAATTAATAAATATTCAATGAGATATGAATAAGTGATTATGTGATGTCTAAAATTTTTAATATAATATAAAAATTATTTGATTTGATATTTTACAATTGAAAATTAGTTAATAATGAGATCTGATTTAAAATTT